GATTTCCAAATAATCTTTAAAATAGCTTTAATATTTATCCCTATCCATAAGATTTCAAAAATACACATGATGTTAACAGCAATAGCAGGCAAATCGTGTGACATTTTCTTCTTTCCTGTTGTTTTAAACTTTTACTCTGCCTCCCATAGACAGTAGAAAACATGGATGTAATTTTTATGACGTCACCTTATTCTGAAGACGTGTTGTGAAGCCTACCTATGGGGGTCGACAATTGGAAATGCTGTGTCAGCTTGATTTTTGATCACTCATGAAACAGGCAAAGAGGTAGAGCTGGGGCAAGCTTTAGAGCACCAATATGTAACTTAAAAAAAAAAAAAGTAGTCTCAAATTTGATCTAATAGTACAATAGCTTTCAGTAAGGAGAATGGTGTCTACACCATTTCCACAGTTCCTTGGTAGCCTGCTCTTCGCACTTTGTAAGTTTGGCAGTTGGCCCCGGGGCTTTATGACACATACCACATACCAGTCACATCCCAGACTTCAGCTAGAAAGAAGTCAGTTAGCTCGTCTTGCTACTGTTTGATACAATGGCTAAGGCTGAGAGACGGAAAAGAACGGTTATGGATGAAGCTCTGAAAAAACACGAGAGAGTGAGTGAGCAAGAAGCTGGACAGAAAGCAACAATCCAACAGCAGACTGTACATCCCTGCAGATCTTATTATTCAGAATAGATTGAGTTGTCATATTAGGTTGTGTTGTTAAAGGTGTCATCATTGTCTCAAGTTTAGCAGCTTTACAGGTTGCAGAAAGTTATGTGCACACAAATAAATTGATACAACCATCTTACGGCAAAACGTTTTCTGTTATGGTCGGTCTTCAAGTTGGTTTTATAATCTTGGAACTTACAAACCTATCTCATCTACCATGTAATAGATGTTCCTCTCCAATGTAGCCATTGAGCCATGGCCTATAGATATCATGACAACAGTTGAAAACAAATCCACATACTCGACATGCAAACAGTCTGCAAACATTGCGCTGTAGATACTGCAGAGTCTGCATAATCGGGTAATATTACTGTACCTTGTCAGTTGACATGGTTGTTTGGCTTCTCACAATGTCTATGCCAGGTTGAACATTCTCCGTTGGTCAACAAATGCACGTTGTTCAAGACGGGGAGGCGTAACAGCAATATGTGTGTTTTACGACAGTTCAGTTGCACTCAAAGATAATTGGTGGCCCCACCAAACGGAATTCCTACTTATTGTTGCTTGAAGCCTTCTGGGAGGCAGCTTCAGCGTTCCACCAGTCAGTCAACTCTGTCACACCCCTAAATATGCAAATATATGAATAACTCTTAAGCTTAATTTAATCAAACGGATGGGTTATAAATCATTTAACCCCCGCTCAGTGTGTACAAAACTGAGCTATTTACTGTAATCATGTTAAACTTCCAAATTCAACAATTTAATTATACACACCTTTTAGAGATTGAACTTACTAACTACACTAAAAAAAAAAAAAAGCCATGCTTTATTGATTTAGAGCAGTGGTGTCCAAACTTTTTTTCTTGCGGGCCAAAATTGTCGTGTTAGAATCGCTCGTGGGCCACAGGTTTTGTTTTTTAAAATATAGTTGAAAAAATATTAAGGCTTTGTAGATCAGAATCAAAAGGCTCGCTAAAGAAACCCTTTAAAAAAAGGAAATCAAATATTTTGATTCTTCGTTCTACTTTATTTGTTTTTTTTTATGTAACGTGGTTCATTTTTTTGGGAAAGGCTTTCTGCATTTAGCTCAGGTCATTAAGTGGTTAAACAACAGTCCGCTTGTTTGCAAAAACTTTGCATACGTTTTTTTTCATAGTTTACAAAAAAATGTGGAAAATAGTAAAAGCTGTAGATTTAAAAAAACAACAACATACATGTTACTGAACATTTTCTACTTTAGGAATATTGTTCAGCCCTTGTTAACGTGAAAAAGGAAAATAAGATAATGTGCCAATCTTAATCAAGGCCTCGGGCCAAAATCTTCTGATTCTTCATTTGAAGTCAAGGGCCGCAAAAAATACCCTCAAGGGCCACAAATGGCCCTCGGGCCGCACTTTGGACACCCCTGATTTAGAGGTTTTGATTCAGGTTTTTGGGTAAGACCTTTGAATGACTCAAACCTACCTACAGTAAGAGATACTCACCTTTGCTAACCTGTGTAAACACTAGACCACAAATTAATGATGAATATAGAAGGAATTCAAAGGGATTTGAGACTTAAGATAGACATTCAAATAGCTACACATTACCTTTATGGGCTGAGCCTGATCTGAGAACTTTTTTTCCTGTTTTTGTTTGGAAAATAATCCCAACTCAACACTAACTCATATTGTTTGTGCCATAGTCAGTCTTTGATTTGTAATTCTTCCCAAACCCAAATGAAGAAATAAAAAAAACAAGCTTTATTTCTTACTCTGATCCATTTTTCAGCTCACGGCTCACAGATGGATAAAGGCATTTCTACATGAGGTTGTCAGAAACGCGATCAAAGTACAATTTGTGTTTTGACAGTAAGCTGCAACTTGAAAATAAAAACCCAGACAAAATCACATGTTTATTACTGTCTTTATCTCGCAGTCACAGTTGTTGTCAGGAAAGCTGACGAGAAGTAGAATAGCATGAAGAAGTTGCACAGCAGTCTTAGTGCTCAATTGCAAAAAGTAAAAAAAAAACAACTATAATTTACAGACTGAAAAACATTTGTGTCAATTGTACATTTATTTGTCTCAAGTGCTTTCAGTATGGCAATGGTTTTTGAGCCATGAAAAGATATTGGGGAGTTGGTTGAGCAGAAACAGAGTGATTTCTGCTGAAAATGGACACATTGCAGAGGCACTTGACACAGTGACACTTTTAGACAATCCTAGGTTTCAGGTTTGCTTTTGGTTCGTTCTCTGACATCTTAAAGATGATTTTTTTCTGTACAGCAATCTTTCAAACTCCTCTCATTATTATCATGATTATTCCCTCTCTCACGCTCTCAATGGCCATTTCTTTGCTTTTTCTTTGAGCTGTCTCACCTCTGTCTCGCTCACCCCTCTCTCCCTCTCATGCTCAGACTGCGGTGTCATTTTGTTTGACAGGTCTTTGAGTCTCCTGTCGAAAAGAACAGAGGCTAAGTCCTCCCCCTATCATCTTGCTGTCTTTCCTTTTTCTCCACCTCCAATTTTTTTTTTAAAGACTCAGCAAAGCTATGTTGAATTTGTCTTCCCATTTTTGTTCTTGTAAGTCTTTCAGATGTTCTTTTTTTTAAAGAATCTCTGCCCCCCCATAATGTGTATGTTTAGCCATCTAGAAGTCTTGTTCTACACTCCCTTACATTTAGATTTACGTATTTTTTTACATGTTTGTCTCAATTTTAAGTCGTCCTGACACTAGTGCCAGATATATTTTTCTTGCTTTACTTAAAGATGATTAAAAAAAAATAGACAACAAGCACTTTTCTAGTGTTCTTTGTTTAATAATTGACCAAAACCATTGACGGAACTCCCAGTCAAAATCTCCTCAAATTATAAATCTGAAATAGGAAAAAAACACCTGCTGTAATTCCCTGTTAAAGCAATGTTTTTTTTTTTGCATTTTAGAAATACATTCAAATAATGTTGCTGTTTTACTTTTTTGTGCACAAGAGACAACCAGAACACCACATTTACTTGTGCTCTGGTGTGCACGTTATTCAATTCAATTCAAAGGCTTTATTAGCCTGAACGTTGTCTAGTTTTGCTAGAGGCCTTGTATACATCACCAATATTTTAACAATATTAGATAATAGAAATAACATGATTTGAATGTACTGGAGCATTTGAAAGTATGGAACTATAATCTGGTTTGCGCCTGTTTGGAGCAGTTTTATGTATACTGGAAGTTGTGGAAGTTGTTGTTCCAGTGTAACAGGAAGCCTCTGGCTTTACTGGTAAAGTCCCCTTTCTTTACTCCTGGCCACCATGCACATGAAACACACATACATAATGATACACACACACACACCTCACACTCACACAGGTCCATTCAGCTTTTACATGGAGGCCCCTAGAACACTGTGTTGACAAGCTCTATGCCATGTTAGTCTAAACTACATGCAGACTCAGTGCAATACTCAATAGACAGGGATTCAACTATAACACAGTTAGCACTAGCAGGTTGTTGCACATGTAAAGGCCATACTGATGGAGGCAGTTGTTCAGCAGTAGACACACACTCTGTTGCAGGAATGCTGGGCTCCTTGGACATCCTCTATAGTGTCCTCATCCACAAGGTAAAACAGAACTTTTAAGGTCCAAAAGAAGAACAGTTTGTTTGCCTTTTTTTCTGTTTGTTGAAGAAATGTGACCACTTGTTGCGGTCTTTGTCAAGGACACTGAACTTCTGAAATGCCTCGTCTGGGAAATGGTTCACACAGGATTGTCTTTTAGTTAATTTTAACTCTTTACACAATTACACAATCTTTTTTTTTTTTTTTTTTGGGAGAATTTAAAAAAAATGACTGATGTTTGATCATTTTGCAAGTAAGACTTGTCAGTGTTTGTTATGGGAATCTTCAATCAATAGCTTCTTACATTCTTCATCATAAATGTTGCCTCTTTAGTGTTGCATTTCTCTTTATTATCTAAGTGAGTAGCAGCAAATGAAGAGAATTGAAGTGGCTTAGAGAGAAGAAATAAGCAAAGAGAAAGTTTCATGTCTGCGAGAGAAGTATGATTTATTGGAATAGAGTTCCTGCTGCTTCACTCGGATCAAATCATTTGTTGGAAATGGAATAATATATGAACTAATAGAAGAAAGGTGAGGATGGGGAATGGATGAATACATTTTCATTGAATACATGTGCTCCTTTTGACCTTATTTCAATTTTTGGTTCGAAATGAAGTCTTTCATTTATCCATTCAAAAAAAAAACTGTGTTAAGTGAACATAATGAAGGAAAAGAAAGGAAGAAATTAACAAAAATTAACAAAATAATAAGCTGTATTGTGTCTTTGTTTTTTCTCTGTAGCTGATGGCGGTGTATGAGGAGCAGGAAGCCCAGCAGAGGGGTGTGGCTAACACAAATCTCACCCCCAGCCCTGACCTCTACCAACCAGAGCTCTCTGTCTTCCAGCCAATCGCAGGAGGAGAGATGAAGTCAACTCCTCAGCCCTCAAGTCCAGTAAGTTACCTTTTCTTTATTTGAATGAGTCAAATTGTGTCAACACTGTGTGCAGGACAGGTGCTGAAGTCACACTTCTAGATTTGCATTTTCAAGAAAGGGGAAGTACTTACTATATCTAAATGTATAGAATAGGGGTGACCCCTGTTAATCAGAGCCTCAGTCGACTGCCAGTCTCATAGTTGAGCACAAGGATAATTCCCTATAGCTATATGGGGGTGTTTACACTAATGTGTTTGTTTTCTCCAAATAATGAATGACTCATAGTCTATCTTGTTATGAATATCACCATATTAATACTTTTAATGCAGTTCTGAAAACCACTCATTCTTTAAATCAATCTCTTTAGTGCGTGCATGAAGAAATCACCCAGAGGTGTTGATGAAAGCAGTATATCCACGTGTGTAGAAAAGGCTAAATCTTGTAAATCCTTAGTCGGGTACAGGTCTAAGCAAATACATGTTGGTTCCCTGTGAAACCCTCAGAGCTACATGGGTCGTTACTTGCCCCAACCTTGCCATGTGACATTTTAAATCCTTCTTAACAAGCCCACTCCCCAAATACAATTATAGGATATTTGAAGGTTTAGAAAATGGTTGCACTTAGTTTAAAGTGAGGGATATTTGATTATCTATTTACAGGAGATTAACTTGAGAATGTTCTGAAAGTTTTACAAATTGTTAAATCATGAATTCATTTGACAGCTAACTTGTGCAACAACCTTTATTCTTCTCTTTAGAAAAGAGCAGTGTGCTTTATCAGATATAGTAGGTTTGTCATCGTGAATCGCATCACAAAACAACTTAATTAGTCTTGAGTAATACGTCCATAAAGGCAAGACAGACTTTCTTAACTCTGGCAAGCAAAACTGTTCTGTGCCCGACCCTGTTGCCTCTCCAAACTCCAAATTCTCCAGTACTTCATTGAGCGTTTACTACGCTTTGACTCTGTTATGAAGAGGTCATAACTCCAAATTAAGTTGTACTTTAAAGGAGAATAAAGTTGTTCTTTTTTTACTCAACTTGTTGCTAAAGGTTTTACCTCTCCTGACTTTGTTCCCTTTCTTACACGGCTCATAAGAGTTGTGCCAGATGTCTCTACTTTCAGATGTCTTAAGTTTTATTGAAACATGCTCTCTATGTTTTTTTTAATGACTCCTCTGACCTTACAAAAAAACACGTGCCTCTAGGAACACCTGTTTTTACTGTTTTTGTGTTAGCTCTCAGGCAGTGCATAAAAGTGTCAATGGTACAACTAGCTTTAAACGAGAAGCAGGTACAATGGGGCTGACATTTGACTCGCTGGTTGAAGTGGGTGAAGGATAGCAGTGAAGAAGTGATAGAAACAAGATGTGGACAGCTGAAATGTTGGCAGCACTGTCTGAGATACAGAAGGATAAGGGGATGAAAGAGAATCATAGCAGGAGAAAACACAGGAAGTGCATGTATAATGTCAGGCTGTAAACTTTAGTGTTCTCTAGCATCTGCTTACTGTTACCTGAAAAAATCCTGTCTGAATGACCTTTTTTCCTCTTTGCCCCCCCCCCCCATCTCTTTACCTCTCAGTCATTCTCTTTCTTTCCTGGTTTCCCTTTCCCGTCCTTCACTCATCTGTGTCTGTCTTTTCTCAAGTCTAGTGCTCGTCTGGTCGAGCTCTACTGTATATTTGAGTGTCAGAATGCTAAGAGCTGCCACAGTTTGTCCAGATTTCATTTTGTCTTAACAAAACAAACCATGTGGATGATGGATTGTGTGTATGAACAGTCTGCCAACGCCTATGCATTACTCCCAGTTACCTCCCGCTGTCGGATAATCATGTATTCCATTTCCTTTAGGTATGAATTGTAGACTCTGCGTCGTTGCATAGTCTGTCCTGCTGAATACTTGACATTTAAACACAGTATGTTGTTTTCTAAATGTCATTAATATGTCAAAGGAAGTGTTACGATGTAAACAATCTACTGTGAGTTGCAGTGAAAGCGTGATTTATTCCTGTACACTCTGTTGTGCTTGAAGATTCACAGTGTGCTAATTCAGGGAATTCCATGTTGCATTAAAGGCAGAATATGTGATTTTTTTTTGATCCAGCCGATGTCGCCCTTTAGCACCAGCATGAAACCAAAACAACTCGCGCTGCATTGTTGTGTTAGCATGCTAATGCTAGCGATCTTTATTATGCTCGTATCTTCACACTGCATGTAAATTTACCTGAAATGACCGTGATCTAGAAACGCTTACGAGACATTCAATTAAGCAGTGAGTACATGTATGTTATTCTTCTCTTCTCTAGTCCCCTCAGTTAAACAACTTTTAAACGCAAGGGGATGAGCTGGCGCGGCCGTCCCGGCGATGTAAACAAACTGAAGATAGAACACGTAAAACTCAGAAAGCATCACAGACAGCGGGACTCGAGTGTACACTCATTGTAGACAGTCATGACTCAGAGTTATTTTCAGAGGGTATATAATACATCCTTTCGTATCTCCTTTTCTTAAACCCAATTTCCCATTCTGTATACGTCACAGTAAAAATCACAATGGTTTTGGCTTCTGTGGATTATACAATAACAGAATTGACATTTCAGCCTGTTAGATCTTCTAAGGTTGTGATAGTGCCTCATGGGCTGTATGATCCAGACACTGTTAAGACAGGAAGTTTAGTCTGCTTCAGTATGGTCGCCCGTCGCTAGGGATAAGAAGTAATGTGTGACTGTCATGGTAGATTAGAGGTACTGGAGGAGCTCTGGAGACTATCTCTGTCAGAGTGAGAAGGCCAGGCTGAGGTCGCTATCACTCTTTTTAATGTTTTACATTCACTCTTATTATTATTTTTTCTCTCTTAACTTGTGTCAAGTCTCTTTCTCTTTGTCTCTTGCTCATTGTTTCTGCTTCTCATTGTCCTTTTTTGTCTTATGAAATCCTCTATTGTCTTTCTTTTTTTCTCACACCACTTTGCTTTGTGTTACTCTCCTTTCTTTTCAGATTGTCTTCATAGTTTAAACTTCTTTTTTTTACACTCTTTTGACTATTACTTTCTTTTTTCATACAGCCTCTATCTCTCTTCTGCCAAGTTCTTTTCTTATCTAAAGTAAGTAGTTGAAGATGCTCAAAATGAACAATTATAGTGCTGAACTGAAAGGCTTCATAACTGAGTATCGTAGTGTGTAAGCGGTACACTTACTTAAGTCACCTTTGCGTAATACAGGGGATGTAAAGTTTTGTATTACAATGACGTAGTATACATAATCACAGGTCTGGCTGTGTAATTTAGACAGTCAGAAATAGTTTTTTTTACCTTGTTCTGTGATGTTGACTGGGTGTGTTTCCCTCCTTTGCCTGGTTTGTTTGGACATATAACACAGGAATCGTACTCCTCTGCAGAAAAAAAACAAACAATTCTCACTTCACACTTAAATAGTAGTTCTATAAGCAGGAGCAGCAGCAGCAGCCTAGTTGTAGAAGTAGTAGTAGAAGTAGTAGTAGAAGTAGTATGGCTACTAGGCAATTTGGATTACAACTGATACTCATCATAAAAATAACGATAGGCTAACGTTACTCACTGTCTCCATCCAATTCAACATCAGCACAGTGTCACGGGACTCAACAATATCTACTGGTTCAACAACTCTTTTAGTTCCAAGAATTTTGTTCAGCTTGTGTTACCAGGGCAATCTGTCCCTCTCATCACTAGAATCTCCACTTTCGCCAATCTGATCTCGTACTCATAGGTGTTATAGTTTAAAGAGTGACCTAAGCCAAACGTATCTGTGATTGCCGTAAAAATAAAAATATTGTTACAACATTTGTTGTAACTACTATTTGATTATTTTTTTGTTGGGTTAACTACTTAACTAGCATCTTGGAGCTCTCCAACAATGCAAAGTACAACTAGTACACATATTATTTGATTACTTGCGCAGTGAGAAAAGGAGGCTGTGATGTAATGTCATAAGAACAGTCTTGCGCTAGTCGGTGCTCTGGCCAGCTTTACACAACACAAGAACGACATTAGAAAAATGCATACATGAAGATTGCATCATATGAATCGAAATTCGAGACAAATGAGCTATAGGGGTGAAAACGCCCTTTGACATGTTTCAGGATGAAAAGTAGGGGTGTCAAATACAATGATGATGGCTGTTTTCTGTAATGCTGCAACAGTTTCAGGCTCACTGGGACTCTAAAGGAGAATTTGAGCAGGTTATTTGTAACACTTTTGATTTCAAACACCCTTTTATACTACAACATAGTAGTATTTATGTATTCTTAAGACGTGATTTTTTGTCAGTGATATTTTGAGAAAATCATGGACAAATGAGGCTTTTGTTCATTTAACATTCAAACTAAAATGTGCAACAGAACTGAATTGCATCCTTTGAATCTTCTAATGAAGCATGCAGGCTTGTTACTGATTTTACAATAACAACTATACAAGACAATGTCAAGTCTCATATAATGCTATCAATACTACATTGGCATTTACGGTGTAGCACTATATAGTGCTATTAGTGGAGGAAAACAGAGGATAGTGGGTTTACTACTTGATGCAAAATGATATTGCATTCTGCTAAAGCAATCTGATATAAAAAATATTGATCCCGGAAAATCTACCAGACAGAATAGTAGTCCCCAGGTAGCCATTGGTCTCCATCTTAATTTGTCATTGAAAGTATACAAATCCTTTCACCTCATATAAAGGAACTTTCCACCAATGTCTGGTCACTTGTCTAAGAGGCCTGCTTGGGAATACCAAGCAAATACTTTGTACTTCAACTGGTCTTATTCATACATTTTCCTTACCCCTTTTCTCCCACAATTCCTCAATCCATCTCTTTTATCTGTCCCTCACTTTTATGTCTTTTGTCCTCTATCCATTTACTCCCCTTTCATTGCCTTTCTTTGAGGAGATGAATTGATTAGAGGTTTGATGTAATCCATACCCCCCCCCAGCCGGTCTTAAGAGCACCGAGGGTCCATTTTGTGACAATCAATATTTGACCCTACAAATATCATTTGGCATGTCTTCTGAGTAGTCTCTTCTCATAAAGAGGTTCCCTCCACCCACACCGCCTTTCCCATTGTATTCCCAGCAGAACTATAGAGGCTAACATGACAATGTTCTTAAAGCACATATGGATTGATGGGGTCTTTGGACTGGGATGGTGGAGTTGGGGCGCGGCAGAGTACCACACAGATCATAATGATAACCTTAAGTAATACATGTTATTTATTTGAATAGCTTTCAGTGGTGTTGACTTTTCTCACCATTTCAGTATTCCTTCAAGCTCCATCAGCAGCGCAGGCCGTAGAGTCGTGTGCTTCATCCATCAGCTTCGGTTAAATGGTGATTTTATGCAGTGGGCTGGTGAGACGTGAAGAGGGAGACACTATCATATGTTACCTACATGCACACAGAGATCTTGCAAACCAGCCCCTGATTGGCCACTTGGACTCATGAACACCAGTGGGTTCACTGAAGGGATATTAAAGGAACAGCTTGTACATTAACTACTAATGCAACAGACTCTCAGATGATCTCATATGGGACCAAGTGAACACATGGAAGGGGGCGCATACTTCAACCCCAACATTTAGGAATTATTTTTTTTACACTGTCATATTATGCATTCAAAACACGTCAAACACACACTTAAAATGTCTGGGGATGTGCTGTCTGATGAGTTTTAATGAGCAAAAGAAGAACCCTTTAAATCCTTGGGTTTTTTCACATGATGAACATTTCTGGTCCTTTTTTGATCACATATACCCTTTATCTGTGAAAGGCCACAATCAGGCCTGAACTGGCTCACCGATAGTCTTACTGTTATGCTCTCTGTGTTGTGGTTTCTACTTTTCTGGCTTTCATCCCCTACTTAATGTACTCTTAGCACCAATATCACTTTTTGTATTTTTCATTATAACAAGCTCAAATAGAGAGGCGTCATATTTGTCATAGATTTGGATCTATCTATAGCATACTTTTCTGTAAGCACTACTATTACATCATCAGAAAACTCAAGTGTGATCCAACAGAAATCCCCCAAAAGCTAAAGAAATAATCAAGTCATCTAAACCTTAGCACAAAAAATATCGCAAGACATGGATCCTACAGAGAGTATATATAATTTTACACATTTTCTAACGCTTTAAAGCACAAGCCGGATTTTAGGTTATTACTCTAAATATCTTTGTGACTTTTGTTTGGGTCTGTAAGTATACTGTGACTTGGACCGACGCCTCATTCAGATTGCTATGACAAAGTGGCATTTCATTTTTAAACTTTAATAATATAAAAGAGTTCATTTTCCCTCTCTCTGTCTTTCTCATTGTTCTTTGACACCTGCATGGAAACACACTCTCACTCCTCTTTGTAGCGTTGCAAATAGAGCTCAAGGTCTGCATCTTGTCATCGAAAAGATTATTATTAGACATGAGTTTTGCTGAACTGTGACTCTCTCAAAATAGGCTGCCGTGTGTGTGTGTGTGAGTGTCTCTGTGTTGACACACTGTGCATGTGTAAGAGAAATTTGCTTTTTTTCCTGAAACAATGCAGAGGCAGAATTGATAAATTTCCACCATTCTATTTTCCATTCCCATCCTTCCCTGTCGCTGTTATATGCTTTACCTTGTTAACAGGAAGGAGTCACAGTTTGTCTTATTGGTCAGACAACGAGGATTGATCTTTGTCTTCAAGAGACTAGGAATAAAAGAGAGCTAGATTTGGCTAGATTATTTCTCTGCTATTATAAATGCTGGAAATGTGGTGGTATGTCATCAGTTCCTTTAAAATGAACTTGTTTTAATTTCAACCATGACTCCAAACATTGTCTGTAGCTATCCATCAGATATATGATATATATTTATATATATAACACATGCACATCTCTGCCTATGCTTAACTAGAAAAAGTGCTCAAAGCTACCTGCACTCACAGATGTATGTGTGTGTGTTTCTGTGTTTTCTACAGACACCCCTCTGTTGGTGAGGAGCAGCAGTGAGTCAGCCCTCGGCCCTCAGCCCGCAGAGACTGAATCCTCCCTGAATGAGGACACTGGTGCGATGGTAAGACCCTGAGGCCATCAGACACATCCAGTTGGAAACAATTCTCTATGCACGATTTACACAGAAAAACATACACCCTGAGGGCACGCATGAAAGGGAGTAGTCTTTGTTGTGAGTGAAGATATGTAATGTGTATGTGAAGCTCATAACCAGGTGATGATGTACATGATAACGACCAAATTACCTCTAAAAGCCAAAGTCTTTATTCTGTTAAATAGTCAATGAATATTGCAGTTTTTGATGTCAACTGAACGGTAATGTTTCATGGACTGAAAAGGAAACAACAAACTGAAGCGTCACAAAAAATGGAGCTATTGCTGAATAAGAATAAAAGTTATCCGAACAAGCTTCTCAATCTCTTCACAATTTGTCATTATCACTGATTTTTCACATTCACAACTGATGGAGGTAGGAGATATTTCAGGTCATCCCCTTTATTTCTCTCTCTCTGTAAATGCAGAACCCTGAATGCTCTCTTCCTGTTCTCCCTCAATTCTGCTCTTTTATTCCTGCACCTGTCCTGCTCCATCTGTTTTTATCGCACTTCTTAAAGGTGATTGTTTATTGTTCTTACTTTACGCACACACCCTCTGCACTATTTTAATTTTCCAACTCGCTAGTAGATACACAGAGAACGTAGAGATGCATTTTTTAATTCCTTATAATAGTGTTGCACTGTCATATTCCTTGTAGGCAGTTGGACACAGTAAATCCCTGAAGTTCAGTGGTTAAGAAAAAAACATGCATGATTGGACTCTTGAGCGGTGAGCCCTCCTCCCTTGAGACGGCTCACTGGACAAACATCTTCTTTTAAACACACTGTATTCCCCATAGAGCAACCTGCTTGCGAGGCTCAGATCTTTCGGGGAATGTGATTGGTTCTCAGAGGTGGCCAGCCCTTTTGTTTCCACCTTACTGAGACTGCTGGAGTAGTTGTTGTAGAAGACAAAGTTGTTTTTGAAAAAGAGGGCTGCAGAGTGGAGGACAGTGATACAAAAACAGCAGTGTACTGATAATGTAAGCTTGTATTTTACAATACATTACAAAGAGATTTGCTACAAAATGCAACAAAAAAAGTCTACCTTCTTGTTTAATAATTGGCCTTCAAGTTTAAAAATGTGTACTCATTGAATGCAGCTTTAAACTTTGTCCACTAAAACATGATCTGCAACTGTTCTGTCTTTTATCATGCAGCCAGTGAAACACAGTTTATCATCAATAAAATCTTTATGCCCCTGTCATTAATAAACACACGCTGCCAAACTAATTTACTTCCTTTATTTACTTTTTTCCGCTTGAACTGTAAGCTGAAGCTTGGGAATGTAGCTCATGCTGTTCTGAGTCCACCTTCCACTGCTTACATCTAAGCTCTGTTTTCACTGCACGCTACCACTCCTGTTGCTGTCAATATGAAATATTACTGGGTGTCAATTTCTCAGTAGGCCTGACCAGACTCTGGGCTTTTGGGTGTTTATCTGTTGGTGCCATTACTTGATAGCATGCATATGTGTGACCTCAACCACAACAGCTGTGGACTCTCTTTATTACAGTTCATGCTAGCTCTGAAGGTTGCCAGACTAAGTCTTATTTTACAATCAAAGATATAGTTTTAATTGGAAAAGCAGTTCTACAATTTAGATTATCCTTTATATTTTACACTTTAAAAGGCATGTTTACTTATATTGACTGATTAACTATGAGTGAGTGCAAATTTTGTGATAACCTAATATCTTCTGTTTAAGTGATCTAATCAACTAGAGATGCACCGGTTGGGAAAATCAGGGCCAATACCGAAAAACAGTTTCGCTGATTTGGATACTGATGTTTGTTTCATGACTTCTTTTGGTGTCACACTCCCACAGTGCCACCAATTTCTCTCATGTTTGACAATAAAAACATGTCAAAGTTTGTTCAACAGGTGACTTCATCTGCCCAATAAAAAAACCTCTTTATAATATATGGAATTGAATAGAATTACTTTATTGATCCCAAACTGGGAAATTGTTGCGTTACAGCAGCAGGTTATCCAAACACACAATATTAGCAAATAAACACAATATAATCTTAAATACAAAGTAAATAAGCGCTAAAATTATAAAAACTAAGAATGAGAATATATACATCCAGGATTTAACTTAGAATTACTTCTATTCTTAAATATGAGATTAAAATACAATTAATATACCGTACAATACAATAAGATGAAATACAACATACCTTGCTGGAGGTAAATGTAAATGTGCAAAAAACAGAGTTGTAAATGAATATTATTGACGTAGGACATAGCTTCTCTGAAGCAGTAGTTGGGTGTACCAGATGCCGGCATAAAATCAATTTGGCACAACAAATCAACAGTGGCTACTGACATGGCACATTATTTGCCGATGTGCCGATGTCTGTCAACTGGGCCGATAACAGCCGATACTGATGTCGACAATATGCATCGGTGCATCCCTAATCTAAAGTTTTCAGATTAAAAAAATGATTAAATTGAAATGAAGAACATACATGTGTAAAAGATGTACCTTTAAATAAAGTTGACACAAATAAAAAAAAAACCCAAAAAAAACAGACATGTTTCAGACATATTTCCTGAATGTCTGCTGATATAGTAAGGTCATTTTATGATTTGATTCAGAAGATATCTTTCAAATTCAGTCAACTTTAAATTTAAAGGCAGCTTGAAATAACTTATTAAAACATCTTTTATTTGCTATTATTATTTTTTAGAGTGTTCTGATTATATTGCTTGGTACTGTGGATAGTTTGAGTGACAAAGTAGTAAGACAGAGTCCTGCCCACACACAGTGAAGATCCTGGAGGCAGGGACGATGTTGCTGTAAGTATCGTCATGAACAGGCATCATGCTTTTCAGTATGAGCCTTTAGAATTGGCAGCACTATTTTACACCACAAATTTTGAAATTTAGAAATGGAAATATTATTAAAAAAGAATAAGCACTGACAAAATTGTGGCACCTTGTAAAATATACATTCTTCCATGCTGCCGCTCCTGCATGTGCACAATAATGTTAGCGAACAGACCAGTGAGTTGATTATTTATAGACACAATGCGAGCTGACTGTGTCCTCTCCTCTAATGATTCAATCTTTCCTCTTTTAAAGGGCAGTGCTAGTTTATTCTAGTCATTACACCCTAAGTGTCAAAAATCACCCTCCACTATTTTCCCTCCCATCTTTCCACCCGCTTTATGGCTCTAATGCCCCTCCATCATTTTTCTGTCTGTGCTTTTTTTTAATCTGACACCTGCTGTGCCACAATGACCGCCACAGGAGTGCAGGCGAGGAAGATGACTGTGAATACAGTAAATAAAGGAATTATCTTTCTGTTTCCCCTTCCTCTTTCTCATACATAATTTTCTCAGTCACTGTCCTAGTCTCTCTCTTTTTTTTTTTTTTTCCCTCACTCCAGCTCTCCCTTACACACAGACACGCACACACATGTCTGTCTCTTTTCAACCAGTCAGGTTCAGAGAGAGGTAATGGCTCCGGGTAATTTTGTTCAAATTGTCACTTGGCCTTTTGGTGAGAGCGATGAAGGGAAGAAAGTACTCTTCTTGCAGTAATTCTCTGTCTTTCTTCTCGCTCTGTCTTTTTCCGTACTCTCTGTCCCCTCTCTTTATTTAATTTCAATCCAGAAAGATTCACGGGTGTAGGGCGTCTTTTCTTAATGCCGCAGCGAATGAGTGCAATTCACTCTCTCTTTCACTGACAACACACATGAAACACACACACACACACACACACACACACACACACTCACACACACAGGGTTTCAGGTTAATTAGAATGTGTTAATCAGTTCAGGGGTATTTGTTCTTGCCTGGAAAACTACTGGGGCTAATAAGGCAGTACAACAGTTATTTATTACACCACACCAGGGTTTGTGCGCGGGTGTGTGCGTTTGTCGTCATGTGTGTGTCACGGCTTAAGTGCTGTTAGACTGGATTATATGTGCCACTAAAGTAATTTTGGATGCTTGTACATGTTCGTATACACCACGGTTTTATGTGTGTATGTTTGCGTTTGTTTTAAACGTTTCCTGTTCCTTTGTTTGCTGTACAGTTGGAGTACACACAACAACTGTCTCAAGAACATTAGGGCGGGGACATAACATGCAAAAATAATGCTTTCAGGAAGTTAATTTTGTGTTCCTGATATGTTGTCATATATTACCTGTAGGCAAAACCTGAAATCAAATACTCTGTGTTAAGAATTGACTCCTGCTGAGGATGAGAGGGAGAGAAACAACAATTAGTTATTCTGATGTGCTCTTCTCTGTGCAGTTCTCTTGCCCCCTGACATGGTATAAATCAAAATGCATATTCACTTTAATTCATTAGAGATATTTGAGGATGGATTACCTTTGACACAACACACACAAACTGCAGACTAAAGCCCACACATAAACTTTCCAGCATGCATTCCTATTCATTTATCATACTCACTCTGGCGGCATTTTCAGGGAACACTTAGCCTGATTGGCTATTCTGTAATTAGTAATATCACTATTAGTTCACTGGTTTTATCCACTTTTAGCAATGATTAAATCAGACTAAGAGACTACATGCTTAGGGCCCATTTATTATCCATACAGTTATGCAAGCTAGGATTATCCATCATTGAGTGAAAATAGAAATCTGCTTCTCTTTTCTATGTTTTACTAGGGTCACTAATGCTCATGAATATCGATTGAGCTGTCCAAGATCAGCAGACTAATGTATTAACTTTTCCCCCTGTAGTTTTTCCGATGTATTAATCAGGGATGTGATTCTTCCAAAAGTATCCAAAATTCCAGATTTCCTTATCTGAAAACTTGACTGAGGCTTTGATATTTTATTCATTTACCACACATACTGTAGACTTTTCCCGGCCGCACGCACAAGTGTAATTGTTTTTTGCATTTCTTTTTGTCCGTATAAGATTGCTAACTTAGATCCATATACTAACAGACGATCTCCCCCGCTCTGTAGGCTCTGCATCTGCAGGTGATGCTGAGAGAGAAAGAGATGTCCACTGTCACATCCCTCCTCAAATGGAACGATCGTTGTCTCATGTCAGATATGAAACCAATGACGTTGTTCTTATCGTATTATGCAGCTGGGGGTGGTCTGCTTTATGTCCCTTTGCCAATCACATCTCGGACTAATATTTGTTGTTTTTGAAGCAAATTGTAACTAATCATACTTGATAGAGCATTGAATCCATTAATTATAATTTGTAGTAAACAAATACTTATCTTAAAAGGTTCTTTAGGAGACTGTCTGTTATACTTCAAACCTGGAAGCCACAGTTGATTTAGAGTCTATGCTAGGGCACACTCACACTAGGAAATCTGTACCTTGCCTAAGCGCCTTGCCTTAACCCTCAAAGTCCAGTTCGTTTGACTAGTGTGAGCACTCCGATATGGGCCCATAGTACCCTTCCTTGGCCCTGGCACGGATTGGAAGACGTGCGCTTCGGCATGGTACAGTTGCACATTAGTCCAGGTTAGTCCTGGAGCACTTTGAGTGCAGGCTAGCAGGGGAATGGGGAAGGGGGGGCGGAAATCGTGCTTCAGCACAGTACGGGGCAACTAGGCCTCGTGTGAGTGCGCTCTTAGTCTGTGTTAGTCACTTAAAAGGAAGACGACGGGGCGCAAAGGCCTAGTGGGTGGGTTGCTCCCTATGTGCAGAGGCTGTAGTCATTCCAGAGTGAAAGTCAGACTCGAACAGGCAGTCCGGCTTTGTGTTCGACCTGCGGCTCCTTTCCTGCATGTTATTCCCCTCTCTCTCTCCCTGATGTCTTGCTCTATCATCCGTCCTATCAAATAAAGGCATAAAAGTCCCAAAAGAGTCTTTAAAAAAGAGCACACATTTCTTGTCAAGATTGTGAAAGAGATGTTTTTATGAAGCTAATCCTTTAGAATGAAAGCCACCTACAGGCCCTGGAAGGTGAAATATAGTTTCGACCTTTATTTTCAGTCATAAACAATAAAGAACAAGCCACTTAACATTCAACAAACTTACTGTATCTGTTTTACTGTATCTATTATATTGTGAGGTTTAAGTACGGTAACTGGTAATACATATTTATTCATTATGATTAGTTCACTTGCTCAGGCTTCGATAAGTAAAATACATTGCTTTCCTGTAATTAATATATTGCTTCTTCTTTAATAGAGAGGGATAAAGAGAGACTGTTTGTACTTGTAGTTATTAAACGAGACATACAATTAAGCATCAGAGACTTCCCAGTTAATGTATGAGTGGCTGTTGTTATGACAAAGAGGTTAGGATAATTAATGTTACCTGTCATCCTGATGTAATTAAGCTCACATGAGAGCATATGCAGCTAGGCCAGACTAATTGATTTCTAAACCACCAAAGCCCAAACATATGGTTACAGTATCTGCTGTCTGTCAGTCTCTGTTAGGCCTCTTTTAACCTTCATCCACTTCTTCTCATTAGCTGCTACCACGGATTCTTTTGTTCTTTTTCTTTTCATTTGCCTGAATCAACAGCTTCCGGACATCTCTCTTATGTTTTCTCTCTCTATTACTCATCTGGTTTTCTCAGTCTTCCCCCCCCTTCTTTCTCTTCTTCTCCGACAGGTGGTATAGGTCATATGGCAGCAGGGTGAGAGGTCAAAGGTGTAAGGTCATGTTAAGAGTCCATTAGTACCGACTGCTAACATTGAGCCTTATTGACCTGCATTTGTTTGCCTGCATATGTTCACATGTGCTCGCCTGAGCTCAGATAGATACCCTCATGTAGTCTACATATGGACATGCAATATGCAGATAAGGAAATTATTTGATAAGATATTCTCAACAAAGATAAAGGAACAGCAAGTACATTCATATTTTGCCATTGATGTCTAAATGCTATCTTGATGTGCGTCACATATAATTTAATTTTAGCTTATAATTAAATAAATTGAAATCAAGCATTAAGGGAGTCAGGGTCAAACCTTGAAGTGATCATTTGTCATTTCAAAAGTTGCTCTTTTATTGTCCTTCTAAAAATTGCTTCTTTTTGTTAACATTTCTTCAAAATCTTGGCCCAAAAATGTTACAACTACAATCTGCATATACTACAATGTGCACGTTTGTGTCCGTAATGAGTCTTACTGAATAAAGTTCTGCTTTTTGAGGAAATGATCATGAATTCCTAAACTGTGTGTTGGAGTAGACCATGCTAAGAATATAATGCTCATTCACAAGTCAGCAACGCAGCAGCCTTACTAAAAATATGTTTTTACAGTACACTGAGTATTATTTTTTTTTAAGATTTATTTTTTGGGGTTTTTCTGCCTTTATAGGAGCGATAGGACAGTGGATAGTGTCAGAAAGAAAGGAGACACGGGTCGGATTCAAACCCAGGCCGCCGCTTGGATGCCCATGGCCTCCATACATGGACGCACTAACGCACTAGCCGCTGCGCCACCAGCGCCTCAGTACACTTCAGTTTTATTGTTTGGAGCTACTTGCAGTAATCCTGTTTTCACAAGCGTTAGACTCTCACCAAGAGTTTGACAAAAGAAGGAGTGAAGTGGCTGAAGCTAATCTGTCATGGATGTAACTTTAGCAGGTCAGAAAAGGACCAAGAGATATGAAGCTCAAATAGTTGGACAGAGGACATTTTTTTTAGGAGATTATTAAATGCCAACTTAGATACAGGAGAAACAACTGTTATGATGACTTAATATGTGGACAACGTGCTGCTAAAATGTAATTGAAGCTGCAGTAACTTCGTTTTACTTCTGTAAAAATCAGATCGTATTCTTGCTTTGATTTGTCTTCGATTTGAAATAAGGAGGCTTGTAGAAAAGCAGCTGGTCCAGAGGTGACATCAGGACTCTGGGTCTCTATAGACCAAGAAAATCAATACATCTCTCAAAGTGTCTACAAGATGAAAAACATTGTTCGCCAAATGAGCTGAAAGTGTTATAATATTTGCAAATCTGTGATTTATTTCAGGGCTGTCGAGTTTGATTACATTTAATTCTGCTAAAATACATGATACAATTTCAACTCTGTGGATTCCAAAGCGTGTAAAGCAGTAATACGTCGGTGCATAGCCACATGTGTGCCGTCATACACACAGGAATGTGACACTGTCACATATTGAGTATTAGATGATTCATCATCATAATACTATTGGGCTTGATCTGTGACCTCTTCCCTGTGGAGCTGACCTCTCTGTGTCAAAAACAAAAACATGAGCACACTTCATGAAAGCTTCATGTCAATGTTTAAAGTGATTATTACAGCTCCCTTGGATCTTATTTACTCTCTTACTCTCACTTCTCTCCCACTCTTTCTCTCAGATTTCATCCCCATGGACAATATTCTTTATTACTGCTCGACAACACGAGCTTCTTGCCTACATCATCCATCCATCAATTTATCCGCTCATTCAATCATCACCTAACTCTTCAATTCATTCATTCAATTTAAGCATTCTCAGGTCTTAGAAATTTCAAAAAAAGGTCAGGATTTCATATTGGATGTAGTGTCATGAAAGCAAGAAAATAAAAACAGAGTTCATTAATCCACTAACTCGTTCATAAAGTGCTTCTGTTTTTTTTTCCCCACAGTACATTTGTTAATCTATCCAAAAATGTCTCAGTGTCCCTTTTTTGGATGTGTAGCGTGTACCCTCCGATTGGGTCGTTCCACTCTTTTTATCCTCTCTTTTCCAAATGCCACTCTCAGACTAACAGGAACATGTTCTTTGTGTTTTCTCTGCAGGCAGCCGGTCCTGCTGGGGAGAGACCAGCAGGGGTAGAGCGACCCCAGGGCAAACACGCCTTCAGTGACAGGTCAGTGTGTTTGTGTGTCATTATAGCTCCTGTCCTGCTGTCCACCTGTATATATTTTGTGGTTGCGTACAGCTTTTTTTTTTGCATTTGCAAGTTTGTCTACATTCATGTTTATTGATGCCCATGTGCTTGTTTGTGTCCTACTTTCCCTTCATTAAAACTGTATTCCAATCCAGATCAAGGCCCTTCCATATATAGTTAGTGTAAAGAAGCTGCATCATTAGCCCAGTACAAAGAAGTGCCAAAATGGGGTCAATGTCACACACACACACACACACACACACACACACACACACACACACACACACACACACACACACACACACACACACACACACACACCCTCACACGTGTTGACGACCATACACACATGGCCTCGAAAAATAAACAGCTACAAACACACTTGCATCTTTTTTTTTTTGTAATAGGCAGACACAACTGAACGCACAACACACATGCACACTCTAATGAGTGCTGCCTAATTAAGAGTTTGGGGTCCTGGATGCCCTGTGTGTCTCCTGTGGGCTTCTAAGCATATGTGTGTGTATGTGTATTCCGGCACTGTGAAGGGGATGGGGATGGTAGGCAGGCTCATTCTAACACGGAGCGTGGACAGACAATTATTATCCAAAAAAAACACAAGATGCCATGGCCACGTGACCAAGGCTCATATGAATGTGTCTATAAATAATCATAGCATGGATTCACTCAGGTTAAGATGTGCATTTATGCTGCTTCTATTACACATCTATTTATTTTGTCTTTTCAGCTTAGTCATATTTTAGCTGCTTAACCCCCCTCAGAATTACGGTTCCATTATTTAACCTTCCTTGATGCAAAACATGATAAACCATTGACCTGTGTCTTCACTTTTCTTTTAAGCATTACATTTGGGGCGGCTGTGCCTCAGTTGGTAGAGTCGGAGCCAGCTCCTACAGTCACATGTCCAATGTGTCCTTTTCCAAGACACTTAACCCCAAATTGCTCCGTTGCGAGCGGCGTATGAATGTATATGAATGGGATTAGATGGTCACTTTATAGAACAGCCTCTGTGACATGCGGTGTAAATGTTCTTTGAATAGTCAGTAGACTGGAAAAGCACTTTACAAACTCAAGTCAGATTGTCATTTGACCATTCTAGCCTAAAATACTTCATACAGTAGATAAATAAGGTTTTTAATCTGACATTGTATTAGACTTTTAAGGAGAGCAATATGTATACATTTCTGGGCGATTTGTTGCATTTTTTTTTTTTTTTTTTAAGAAATCAGAGCTGCCAGTTTGCTAAATACTCCTCTCACTGTCTGTACCTCTTCATCCTAATCCGTCTCTCTCTCACTCACTAAGCAAAACTCAAAATCCAAAGAGCCTGCTAAACAAAATACACAGCTGTGTGTTTTGTTATGCAGGAAAGGAACATTTTTCTTTTTTTTTTATTGAAGGAGTATTTTTGTTAAATATGTTTTTCATTTCAGAAACAGTTAGTTTATTATTTATGTCTTTGTTCATGGACATGCTGACATAGTGCAGCTGGCTGTAAATAAAAATGTCTGTGTGACATTTGGAAGGTAGCCCGTGTGGATTTCGCTTAGAAGTGACTTTGTTTTTGTTGGTGAGTGTAACAGCGCTTTGAGTGGTCACAGGACTCTTTGTAAGCACAGTACAGTACAGTGATTCCTGACCAAACCATTATAATATACGTTTAAATGACTAAAACCAGCGGCCACATAACGGTATGAAAGCCAATCACTGGAAAAGCATGACTAATACGAAGGCAATGAATTGGTCGGTCTTAAATTGAAGGAAGTGGCTGTTACATCATTGATCTATGTGCTCCTCTGTCTGGCAGCATTGACCTCTGTTAATGGATGGTGTATTACTCTGTGATTTGAAATCAACAGGTCAGTATGGGCGCCCAATTAATCCACAGCTAATTCATAAATACAGGAACAAAATAACGTGCAGTGAACCTGTAAAGTGGGCATGTAGGGAGAGAGAGTTATGAGACAACAATTTAGAGAGAATAATGTCTGAACTCAGCCTTAGCAGCTGTTTTACTGCTTTCTCTCCATAGCAACCAGATGCAAGCACAGAGGAGAGACAGTGATTAGATCACACATAAACACACACACACACACACACACACACACATACACACACACACACACACTTATTCACCTTGCACCACATACAATGCTGCTATGCAAGGTGTCATATATTATTAATGGTAGAACAAAATTAGGATTTCTTTTCCAATATTTGCAAACCTGAATAAAAATCAAAATGCACAATATTGTTCCATCATTCAAGTTGTATTTAAGTTTTTGCTACTAAACAGTTCAATGCAGTGGGTGGAAAGGTACTCATTAAAGACACAAACACTTTTGTTTTTCTGAACAACTTTTTATGTTCACATTTCCTCTCATGTGTGCACACTCTAATACACTAACCATCTCAGCTGTGAGTAATGAAAAAGTGATGTAATGGTTTTTGTGGTCGCCGGGGAAACGATCCTTGAAATTGCAAAAAAAAAAAAAAAAGAAGCCCAAATTGAGTAGAGGAATGCAGCCATAAATACTGGAACAGTAAAGCATACGTTAAGTGAATGTGTGAGTGTTTGTTCCTCCATATGAGATTTTACTGTTGTGTATGTTTGGAGGGGTATCATGGTCCCCCCCTGTGCGTGGGGGCGAGCGTGCCTTTGAGTATGAAGCTACACCTATAAATACAGTAATGGCTCATCATAATTTAAAGCATGCAGCATGGTCACCGTGAAACTCATTACCTGTGACTCAAAATGTGCTTTTTATACCGGGGAACAGATTTACTGTAAATTGGTTTATTGAAATAGCATTGCAGGCGCGTTATATTTCTTTGTGAAATAAGGTGCTGTGTATGTTGGAGGTGTTTTATAAGCAAGGAGGTGAAAAGGTAAATGGGTTCCACTGGCTGCACAAGACAAACTGGTTATTAAAGGAGTTTTAGAGTTCAGTATTATATTCCTTTTGCTACTCCACTTCTTTTTTATCAATGGCAAGGAGCCCTTTTGTGGTGTTTTAAAGATACTAATGTCCATACCTGTTTATCAATTTCCTCCTCCCTTCCTCCCTTATGTCCTCCCTTTTGTTTTTTCCTTTGTTCTCCTTGCCAGTGGAAATGTTCCTTCAGAAAAAAACGTTTTTATTCTAAGAAACCTGGACACGTCATTGATGAGTGCTCTATTTTGAGTAATGAAGAAACTTCTTCTAAAGCTGTAACTTTAGTAAAAAACTGTGAAACATAACTTGTTTTAACCCTGCTCAACCCACAGCATTCACCTCAAAAGAGTGGGCTAGCTTGTTCCTCGCCTTTTCTTATGGATGGTTTTGTTTCCCTTGGTTCTGAACCAGCAAGTATGAAACCCATTACGATTTGGAGAGACACTGGAGCTTTTCAGTCAATGATTCTCCAGGATTTTTTTTTAAATTCAGTGATGATTCCTCTTTAAGATCTTGTGCTATTGTCAAAGGCTTTGGTGGAGGTTACTTGCCAATGCATAGCCTAAAACTCCAAACCTCTTTAGTCTCTGGTGAAGTCGTTGTAGATATTTGTCCTCATATTTCAATTTATGGTGTGTCCTTTATATTAAGACATTACCTCAGCTGGTGATAGAGTAGTTGCTGCTCCAGGAGGTTTTCCCTTTCCCTGTAGTGTCTGAAACACCAGATGAACTTGAGTTGTTGCTTCCCCCAGCCCTTAAAATTACTGTTCTCATATTTACAACCATGTGAACATAAGCTTTTGTGCACTAGTTTGTTTCCGGTTTTCTTTTACCATTACCTTTACTTTTCGGATACACCTGCAATTTATCATTTATTCTTAGCTGTGTGCTCGAGGGCTGACCAATTAGTATGAGTTTACATGCTTTCAAATCATGTTAATATCATAACATGCAAAAGAACACTGCTTTGGGTCATTTAGAAATGACAACATCGAGTTGTGGGAAGTAGTCTTCAATCGTTCAATGGATGGAGTTCCATTTAAAAAGAATAAAAAAATCTTTGATGTGACTTAAGTGACTTCACTTACATGCATGTAATTCTGATCAAAACTGTTTGGTCTGGTATCATTGTAAAGTTATGAAAGGCCTATAAGTAACGTTTGGCAATATGACTAAGGAAACTGTGAAAGCTTTATATTGTGATACTCAGGTTTTCATATAACAACTAGTTATATGATTAACTATTTTGCACAAAAATAACAGCTAAGAGAGAAAATAGGATTTCTTTCATAACATAATTCATTAGCAGGGATGCACCATAAAATTCCACCAGCCAAGAGAGGGATAGCCAACAACGCAAAAAATTTCGACCCAAGATGTGTTCAAGATATTATCTATTGGAAGAAAAAGGTTTCTTCTGGCATTTTTTTTTTTCATCAATTGTTGTCCGCTATTACAATGTTTGTCCAACAGAGAGTGCTTTGCCTGCATAAATGGTAAAAGCTGAATTGACTTAAGCTTGTATAGCACTTTTCTAGCCTTCTGACTACTCAAAGCATTTTTACACCACATGTTGAGTGCCAATCAGAAGTAACTAATCCCAATTGTACACATTCATACACCACCGATGAAGCAGCGGGTAACTTGGGGTTGAGTGTCCTGCCCCCACATCAGACTGGAGCTGGGGATCGAACCCTTGACCTTCTGGTTAGGAGACGACCAACTCTTACCAATTGAGCCACAACTGCCACCAAAGCTTTGCTGCATAGCTTTCAATCTGTTCAGCACTGTTTGCAGCTTATGTAGGAGAGAGTCAAAGCTAAACAGATCATTGGGTACTTAAAAGTGGCTGGCATGAAAATAGTGTTAAATGTTCTTTGTTTAAGAAAGCTGCTGGTTAAGTAGCTTTAAATATTCAAATCAGTGCAAAAATCTGAGAACAATCTTTGCAGAAAATGTTCATTTTCTAGCTCAAACTTCTGCCACAATGGTAATTGCCTCCTAAAATCAGCAACGACATCAATCACACAATCCCATTGCAGTCGGGCTCTTACTTACTTCATTCTAATATTAAATAGCTACTTTTTAGACGATTTGGATTATTAAAAAAAAGCGTTTGAATGTGTTCTGTGTATTTGCATGCATTAACCTTCAGCTTTATAGTACATTTGTACTGATTTACATTCTCTTTACTCTATACATCACTGGCTCTCCACACTTTGAAGTGAGAGGGGGAGATAATAAATAAGAAGAGGGTGAAATACAGTGAGAGGAGCAAGAGTGGTTTGGTAATGCACATCCTCCTTTTTTGTACTATCTCCTCTGTGCTTCTGTCTTTCATAGCAAGGATCAGTGAAGTGGCAGGTGGATAAAGAGAACACCTGCTCTCTTCATCTCTCTGCGCTTCCCTCCTCTCTTCTGCTCTGTGTGTTTGGCCCTTTTTCTCCGTCTCTTGTTCTCTCATCATTGCGCTCCGTCTCTCTTTTTCTCAAGTTTCAACCATTGCGTCTCTCCCTCAACCCCCCCCCACACACACTTCATTTTTTGCAGTGCTGCAGCCTGTCAAATCTCACAGAAAAATAAAAGAGGAAACGCAAATGGATCTCAAGTGCCTGTGTGTGTATGTGTGTGTCTGCTCCAGTGAGAGTGTTGGAGATCAGAGGCACAGAAGCAGGAAGGGATAGAAGGAGGGGTGGTTGTTTCCCCCTTCCTCTCATATTAATGTAATTCATTAGCCTTGTCTAATTAATTCAGTGCCTCCTCCTTCCTCATTTCAATATATTTTCCTCACAATCCCTTCTCCCTTTATACCTTTATCACCCTTTTACCCCTTCTTTTTTTCTCTTTTTGTTCATGTTTTCTTGCCCACCCTTTTTTTTTTCTTTTACAGATTTGATTTATTCCTCTTCTGTTTTCCCTTTCCCATACTCAGTCCGATACCCAGACTTAGGGTGCACTCACACTAGGCCCCAGTTGTTCCACCTCCCCATTCCCCCTGCTGGCCTGCACTCACACTGCTCCAGGACTAACCGGGCCTGAGCACGGTTACCTCTTGTACATAACATTGTAAAACGTTGTAATACAACACATGCATGGAATAACATAATTATGAAGAGTGCTTAGTTTACAACACAGTCAGACTCCAAAATAAAAAATAAAAGGGACAGTCAGCCCGTGTCTAACAAATTTTGAGTCATTTTAGTCTCTCGATAATTGAAGGCTGTCCATGTTGTGTGCTTGTGCTCGTGCATGAACCATACTGTGCCTAAGCTCATGTCTTCCAGCCGTGCCAAGGCCGAAGATGTGTACCGAGCTTGAGCACAGATCGAAGCACTCACACTCGTCAAATGAACTGGACTTCAACTGGGGTGAAGCATGCTTAGACATGATACGGATTGCCTAGTGGGAGTGTAGCTTTGAGCACCTCAGTACATATTGTAAGTACCCCTCTGACAAGTATTGGTGGAAAAAAAAACAGATTGCCTACACTTAGCTAGCAAGCATTACTAACATTATATAACATTCTCTGATAGTCATTTCTTTTGTTGTCATAAAATGCCAATTTACGTGACACAAATGGATCTTTTTGGTGGGCTAATAAAATGTCAACTTTATTACCCATACTTTCAGTCGTACTCGTGGACAGCCCAGCCCTAGACATTTTATTCATACTATATTATTAATATACTTTCCTGATTACTTTATGGTGACAAAGTACTTGTGCATGTATAATGTTAATCAAGAATTCATGGAACATAATGGAATGAATGAAACATAACTTTTATAGTAGTTTGGGTGGATTGTGAGTGTAGAACATGGAGGACTGTCCAAACAGAATCTCATTTACATCCACGCTGCTGTCTGCGGTCAAGTTTTGGAAACAAAATCATTTTAATAAGGTCAGGGAGAGATGATAGTTTCTGTCAGATATCAAGGTTGTAATAAGGACCCGGTCCCTTGGAATGCCCTATATAGATTCAGTATTTAGTATTATGATTCTTGTTACCTGGTTCCACATTTTTCAAAACTGGAAACATTGAGCTTATCAATATTGTTAATGAGTTTTGTGGTTCCTATTAGAAAATGTTCTGTCTCGAGTTGAGTCGCCTAATGAGTCAGGTAAACTATTTTAAGGGTATTTTGAGCTCTTACCTCTGTCTAAATCAGGTATGGGCAACTTTGGTCACAGCAAGGGCCACATTCATTTAATTCTCACTGCCAGAGGGGCCAAATTGTAGGTACCAAAAACGATTACAGTCAATGATGTCTCAAATTTAACTCAACATGTACCAAATCAAATCAATATTCAAAATATTATTATGGACATATTTCTGGTTTTCATGATTTCATGGCAGATTCTCTCATGTTTTCTTCATGTTTCCAATTAGTTGATTTGTAAAAATTGACTTGAGGGTTGATGTGGGCCGCATGTGGCCCCCAGGCCGCCATTTACCCACCTCTGGTCTAAAGAAAATAATCTAATTTGGCATGTGAGGTAAAATGCATGCAGTATCCATAATAATTTTCAATACTGCATTTTGTCACATTCCCCACACAGTTCATAATCACAACATGAAGAATAAGGGCATTTTAGTCAAATGATTTCCACTGCTTCCACTTCTTTTCAATTTCATCTTTACGTCCTCTGTCCTTGTCTCTCTGTCTTCTTCTGTTTCTCTTATCCTCTCCTGGTGTTGCTGGTTTCCCATTGTAGGTTTTAACTCAAATATGCCGAATGATGCAGAGGCTTCATCAACCTTCTGTGTATCTGTGTGTGTGTGAGAGAGAGAGAGCGGACATAGACAAAGGGAGACAAAGGGAGAGGGAGAACTTGTTTTTTCTCTGTGGATCTCTCCCCTGTTGCACCCCAACATCATCAACCACTCTCTCTGTGGAGTTTATCAGCATCTGTACTCCTATCGGTTCATGGGGGTTTAGGGGACAGATGGATGCTTGAGAGAGAGAGTGGAAGACAAAATGAGCAGACAGAGAAAGAGGGAGAGAGAGAGAGGGAGAGAGAGCGAGCTGGTAGAACTAAAGAGGACAAAACTAAGTTCAGACAAACTCACTTAGAAAAAATAACACACCCACACTGGGAGCAGGGAGAAGGTCAGGAGAGGATTAATGGCTGTGCTCTGATAGATAAACTAATCAAACAAACAAAGACTTCAACACACACACACATTTAAACAGAGACGGAATGTAAAACAGACACACACTTGAATATTCGAAAATAGACAGAGACATTTAGAGATTGAAGAGAGGAGGGAGCACATGAAGATGAATGGTATGAAAAAAAAGTTTTGACACACAGATCAATAAGTTCTCTCAGGGCCCAGTTTGCATGGAATTAGTTCTTGACAAAAAAATCACAAGGAATGCATCCATGATCTGTGTATCTAAAAATCTAGGAATTATGTGCATGTATGAAAGAATTAGTTACTATATGATAGTGCTTTTCAATAATTTTCCTCGGAAAAAAAAAGACTGAATGTCATATGTCTGTATGTGCTTGTATTTGTTCACCACCACTATTGCTTGTGTTTGACACACCTTCAATGCCTTTTATGTCTTTCTTTTTTATTGGCCACTTTCCTATAGCACCTTTCTCATAAAAAGGTAAAAGTGTTGATTAAAGAAGTGCTGTCCAATGCAGTCTCTTTGCACTGTATGTCATGTTGAATAAAAGTGTGTCAAAATTCAGTGAAGCTGCTTGATTTTAGGAGTTAAGTGAAAGCGGGTCAGAGTGTTTTTTTTTCAAACATGTTATCATTCTCATTTCTGTTATTCTTAATGGTGTGTGTATTTCTATGTTTTTTTTTTTTTTTTGTACGTGCAGCTTGACCAGAACAGTTGAGATCTTGGGAGAGGACAGTCCCCTGGGAATCCATGTGGTTCCTTACAGCTCATCGCTCAGTGGTCGGTGAGTATTGTGCATGCACACACAAAAACATGCGTGTACTCACACACACACACACACACACACACACACACACACAATACACATACTCAAACCTAGATAATTCCGCAATTCATATCGTTTTTTAAAAGTTAAAAGTGTTGAATTCCCCCTACAACCCAATTTTCTCTGCCCATTGTCCACCATGTTTGTTAGCTATGAAGTTTGACCACAAGAGATTTAGGGAGAAATCCAGTTTTGTGAGTCAGCACTCTGGTTTTAGTTGAATGGAATCTGTTGGTGTGTGCTGAGCTCTTTTGGTCACATCTTTGCTCACCACACACCATAGGAACTCAACAGATAGATCTTTAATATTTGTTGTCATGTTTGCGGACTTTCACATTTTCAAAATCTCTTCAGTTTTTAAAACTCTTTTTAGTGTGGGCCAGGCTTTATGGATTTTTTTTTGACCCTGGCACTACAGTAAATGGCAGCTACATTCAAACACAATGGGGGGGAAAAAAAAAAGAAAAGGAAGGAAAGTGGTCCAGTTATGCAGAGCTTTTCTTTGGGTGTGTGACAGTCAGACAGGGGATGGGGATTTCCTAAACCAAAGCAGGATGAGTTTTTATTGCTGTTCTCATGACTCACCTGACCCTGCCAATCTCCTTCTTAAATTCCTTGCTCTTTCTGGTCTTTTTTTCCCTCCCCGTCTTCCGCTCTCTTTCCCGAACACCTCCTCCTACTCGTCCCATCATCTACCAACATCCCTTTCACATATTGACCTATTTTGACCCTTTGACTGCTTGAGTCTTTTATGTGTGCGTGTCATCATATCTTCTATGTTGAGTCTTGTTTTAGTGAGTGTTAGTGTTAGATTTACAGGTCAGTTGGTACTGAAATCATCTCTTCTAATCTCTAATCTGACTCGTGACTTTCACGTTAATAGGGCTTTCACACTTGCAGAAAACTCTTGGAAAAACTCCAGATATTTCCAGGAGGAGCTGTATGTGTGAACGCAAACAGCTGAATTTTTGGTTCAGACTTCACCTGGAGTTTCTCCGGCCAGACCCCTAGGATTTTTTCATCAGAAAGTCAGAATGAGCTGATGTGAGAACGCTGCAGGATATTCTCCGGAGAATTCACCTCGAGCCAATGGGAGGGGGGGAGTTACGTTCATATACAGTGACTGCTGCACGGTGCATAGAATGTGCATTGTACACACGCGACCACTACGATCTCTATGCAAGTAATGAAACAGCTGCATTACGTTATCTGTTCGTCAGTGGCATTGACATAAAGGCACATATTCTCATTTTAGCATTGTGTAGCGGACTCTGTTGCTTCACCAGTTACTTCCGCGTTGTTTTTTTTCGTCAAGTCTTACCTCAGGAGACCACGTGCTCTTCCCTCCCTTCTGACAGGGATAGTCTCAAGCTGTGAGGAGCATATGTGAACAGCCAGGTCAGGAGCCTCTCCGGAGCAGCCTTCCTGAAATGATCTATATATTTGCAGGAGTGCAATTGCTTTAGCTTCATATCTGTTAACATACTCTGAACTTGACTATTGTCTTACTATATTGGACCTGTAATCACTTTGCTCCCAGGTCGACATTAATGAGCTAAAAGTTGCTCATATAAGCACGGATAGTAGCACAGTGGGACAAGAAAAGCGAGTTAAGGGGTTTATCTGACACAGACATGTCTAAATAAATCCTAATGATGGTCTCTGTGGACTTTTCCATTGGACACATCAGTCCCCTGGGACACACTGAAAGTCACTGAGTGTGCTTGTGTTTGCATACATGTGTGCAAGTTGTCAAGTAAAATAAAGATAAACTCCATTTCTCTTCTCGCTCAATCTCCTTTCAGGTCTCTCGGTCTGTACATCCGTGGTGTGGAGGAGGAGAGTCGCTCGAGAAAGGAGGGCTTGTTTCAAGAGGAGGAGTGCATCGTGAGGATCAACAACACTGACCTCATGGACAAGACTTTCAGCCAGTGAGTGCAAAACTATTAGCAGTGGGTCAACGGGGGCGGAAAAAAAAAAATGCCTACAAAGGCACATCCAAAGGAAATGAGAGAACAGAAAACACGGGGCTGTTTCAACAAAAGTTTAAAAGAATTTGTATAACAACTCAGTGATGGAAGTCTCACACATTCTGCTTTTATAATAACAGTAGTGAGTAATGGCAGAACTGCGAGCTCAGAAGCAACAAGATTTATTATTATGATTTTCAAAGTTATATTTTGGGCCTTTTAGCGTGCAGATGATGGATTTGAACCAACGGTTGCTGCGATGAGGACCATAGCCTCTGTACATGGGGCGCATGACATAGACCCTAGGCTATCAGCAACTTATAGCAAGATTTATTTAGGAGATGTATATTTTAATTTCCGTTCACTTGCAGAATAGAAAACATGTTCCTGTCTTTAACCCTTATGAGATGAGTCACTGGGAACCAAATGTGTCTACACTGCCCTAATTGTATGTCTATAGATACATCTAAGCTCTGAAACCTTTTGATGTCGGACCTTGCTTGGTCTTTTCTTCCTGTTTCCCCACTCTCTTTCTTTATGTGTCTTGTTTCCTTTCCATTGTCAGAGGGCTTATATTGCTGTTGCACAGAGAACAGCAGAAAAGACTCTTGGCAGATGTTTGGAAAAAGCGTTGCATGTCTGTCAGAGTCGGCCTTTGTGTGTCTGCCCGTTCCGCATCACTCATGTGAGACCAGATGTTTCTTAGTAGAGTTTGCTTCCAAGTTCCCCGAAAGCAGCTCAAAGCAGGACATTAATATGAGAGTATTTGGGTATGTAACATGATTACAGAGCATTAAAATGACAAAAGACACACCTGTAAAAACAATCGCCAGAGATTACAAGGACTGATGCGAATGCTATAATGAAACAGCACATCGCAGTGTCTATGCAGTGTGCACAATAGTCCTTGTCCAGTGTCCAGTGTGGTAATAAGATTATATGTGAGCTGTTTTATGCTGTGCTGTAGGTAAATGGATTATCACCAGAGGGGTTTCGCACCTATTGTTCAAAGACGTGGGTAGTCCCATGTGCACTCACTCACAAACACCAACATGCACACAGACGTGGTTTTCCAAGCCTCACACTCTCCAGTTAAAACTCAGACCCGTACACATATGATCAAGAGCAGACCTCTTTAATATTTCACAAACAGGCTGGTCTTAAACATTTGGATGTCATGCACATAGGCCTTTTTTTTTTTTAACAATGACACGTTTGAATGCGATCTTACATACACTCTTGCCAGTATTGTTCGGTCATGGCAGGTGTATTGAGATGTAGTTCCAGTGGAAGATCTCTAAGTAGGCCACTGAGAGTCCGCTGATCCCTGTGAGTACCACACACACACACACACAAACACGCACACACAAACACACACACAAACTCACCTCCATTGTCCTAGCTTGGCAGCCGTGTTGAGGTAGCCTGCTTGCTTAGAATATCTCTTTTACACAAATGTGTCTCCACACATTGTCTAACCACGAACAATAATGATATCATCTGTGCACAATGGTTCCCATACACACATCAACACACACAGCTTCACATCTAGTTTAATTATTCTGTATTGTGGTCCTAGTACAATATCAAATCACCACAAGTGTCATTCAGGAAGGTGTGACACAGAGATTCGCTTAGCCTGCATAGTGTTTTATGGTTTCAGTATGCAAATCCTGTCTGACATGCTTCCCCAAGCAAACAAACTCAGGCTCACTTAAAAACCCACCTTAGTGCATCTTTCAAAGAATGTGGTTTTGAACGTTAATATGGAATAATATGAGTGGGTTGCTAAATACTACTACTACTATGATCACTGGTATGTAGAAAAAAAATATTGTAAAATTCATTTTTACCTCACGACCAAAGATTGGTAATTTTTACCAATAAATGAATCATCTTCACCATTTAATAAGTAATTATTCAGGGGGTTTGTTACATTGACTTAGCATGAATGGAGCTTTTAGAAACTTGCTTGTAAGATAACGTGTACATTTACGTGAAACTATGATTCCAAAAATCACTGGAAAGGGACCCTGTGTCCACCTGGAGTTTTTTCCAGGCAGAAAAGTACTGGCTTTGCGCTCAGGAGTGCTTGCATGAAGCTTTCTGAGAATAGAAGTGCTGCACATCCGTCCTGACTCTTATGACAACAGTCTGTTGACAACGGCCACTGTGTGACACTGCTCCATGACTTTTACTGTAGGTTTTCACACAAAACAATCGAATAAAGACGTTGGCGCATAGAAAAAAAGGCTTCGTGGACACAGGACCTAAATGACCATGTTTGCAAAAGACGTAGACATACAGTAATACCGATTAAACACGTCGTGGATGCACAGTACAAATAATGTTGCAAAAATGGATTTCCACCTGTGATTAATTAATTGTTTAGGATGGAAACTTCCCCACAATGTTATATTTCTTTATTTCAAATTCTGTTATTACAATTTTAAGGTATCTGTTTTGCATATCTGAAGTTTTTTTATATGCGTATTTATCTGTCATACACTGCTTTATAAACAAAGTCTCTATCCTACAGAAACATAATGATCATTATACCTCTGATAATAATCAAGAAGGAAAATAATAGAAGTGTAATCCCGTTACATGTAAATAAAGTGGATTTTCTCTGTTGGTTATGTAGGGTGAATGATGGGGTGCAGCGATCACCTCTGACACAATGGGTCCTCTAACTGAGTTAGTATAATGTGATAGAAACTAATCCTTTGCAGAATGATCTCTTTATAGATCATGAGATTATAATGACCAGCTGTGCAGGTGTCATGGTGCTGTGTGGCTTCTCCTGCTCTGTCCTGTCGCCATTTATTTATTTTTCACTCGATGCACGACACCAGTCACTGTAGCAAAACTTACATGAAACACTCTGTGCTATGACCTGTGACCTCCGGTTAGATACAGCAATCAAGTCAAGCATTCAGGTCTGTGTTTTGGATTGTTGTACATTTAAACTGAGATCAATGACTGTTTCATCGTTTCTGACATTTAGAGAACCAATTAGATTGATTAATAATGAAGAGAGAAAGAAGAGCGTCAGTCTTGGAAGTGACATTAACTTTGAATTACTGAAGTAAAGATACATGAGCCTAAGATGTGCCTCAATGTATCCCACTTTTTGAAAATCGAACACCCCATTTATAAAAGTTAGCAATTAATATGAACTCTTTTAATGTGTCATTTGAAATTGGATTTATACGTGTATCTTTTTTTTATGTTATTTTTTAAAATCCTAATTGAGCTATAAGTCCTCTGACGATTACTCTGCTTGTCAGGGATGAATAACTACACACTGCCTGTAACTGTGATGGATGGCATGATTAGCTTTAATGGTATGCCATATGTGCTGCACATACTTAACTTAAAACTCCACACACTTGTTGAACAAAACTTTTTCTCTTCACTTTCTTCTCTATTTCTGCTCCCACCACTCACCTCTCTCTCTCTCTCTCTCTCTCTCTCTCTCTCCCTCTCTCTCATCCAGGGCCCAGGAAGTGTTCCGTCAGGCAATGCGTTCCACAGTCGTCCGTTTGGAAGTAGTTCCCTCCTCTAACAGAGAACGCTATGAGAAGAGTCTGATTGGTCAGCTGTTTGGCAACGGTGCCGGTCCTGACAGCAGCCCCCGAGTCACCAAGACCAAAGAGCCACCCCCACCTGTCAAGGCCAAACCCATCTTTAAGCCCCCTGAGAATCCATCCACGCGATTGGTTGATGAAGCTGCCTTAGTGGAAGCTAATGTAAGTTAAATGTCAAAATCGAGCTCTGACTTAAGGGACATCCTGAATGTGCTAAGTTTTAGATCTCACTTGCGTTAAGTTTGAATGAGGTGATAGGAAAGTAACAGGTTTTAAAGATGTACATAAGCACAATGTAGACGCTGCAGTATTACCTTATTAGATGTGACAAAAGTGAATATTTTAATGTAGATCTTTTAAGTCATTACATTATCATTACAATTCTACGATTCACTTAGCAGACACTTTTATCCAAAGCGACGTACACCAGAGAGTAAGTACAACACAAGCAAGGATCTATAAAAAAAGGAATCAGTGTCAGTAAGTGAAAACGATCAGCTTTGAGTCCGATTAGACACACAGGTGCTGACAGGCAGTGCACAGAGGCAAAGCACAATATGGATGGATGTTCTTGAGAGCTGTAATCAGTATAGAAACCCTCTTAAAATCTGCAGATTTTCTGACTTGGATCAATTCATTTGCAACAGTGGGAAACTTGCTGAGTTCTGTGTCCTTTCTTTTTGCCTTCGATCTGTTTGTCACTGTAAAAAACACAGATTTCAGATTTCCTTTCTTAGAGGACATTCAGGCATTTAAACCTTTCCAACCCCACTCACTGCAACAACTTTGAGGCGTTCAAAGACTGAAATTTGAAATAATTAATATCTTGATATTTATTTTTTCGACCTCAGGATAGGGAAGGTGGGTTTACTGATACTTTTCCACTTTGAATGTAGCATGTTAGGTTTGCATTAGACACATTATTATTAATCAAATCATTATTGATGCAGTTTTGGTCAATAATCTTCATACAACACCCACAATAGCAAAGTAAAACAAATAAAAAGAATGTTTTGCTTCAAAATAAATTCTGATGATTAAAGAAGATTATATCAGAACAGTCCAGAGGGTTTGTGTCTAGACCTGGCCGCTAAGACTAAAACAAGGGAAACCTACGTTTTTTAACTAAACAGTGTTTTTAACCAAAATACCACAACAATACAACATTCAGGAGCTGTGGTGATGGTGTGACGCTGAGGATGGCTGAGAGAGAGAATGAGAAGTTGACAGCCTGATCTTTAATAGGAGACTGGTCATGTCTGCCCAGGTGTGACGAAACACTGCCCACCAGCAACCTGCGGGGATACAAACACACAGAAGGGAAAAACTTGATAGCAGGCTCTGCTGGCGGGAGGGCCGTCACAGTTTGAAATGATGTGACATTTATACAGTGCTTAAAACAACAGCTCGAATGTTCTTCTTTCTTTACACTAGACACCAAAAGGGAGGAGTGACAGCCCTCTCTTTAAGAAGAGTCCCACCCTCTCCAACTTAGTGACCAACAAGAGAGGAGGACGCAGACTGAGGATTGATCTAAAGAAAGGTGAGGACCACCTGAAGGACTGATTGTCTGATTCAGATGTCTTTAAAAGGACGCAGTTGTTATGTTTTTATGTATCTATAAATACATATTAAGGCTGAAAACGATGACTATTTTTCAATTGCGATTAATCATTACATTTTGATAATTAATCGCCATTTATTGGATTTTTAATAACTTGTTTGAAATTCCATTATTTTGCATTTAAAAATAGAAAGTGTGAGGCTTTATTTTGAAATTGGGTACTTTACTTTCTATTTAAATTCAACCTCGCTTTTTACTTCTGGTACATCGAAGGTTAGGACAGTAACTTGGAGCACGGAAAACGGAAGTCGTTATGGATCACAAAGGAATTAAAAACAGATAAAAGGTCAAACTGGATTTTTTTGATGTCATGGTCAGGTGGATATGACTTTTGACTCAGTAGCTGAGCCGTGTGAGAGTTTTTTAAAAGGGAAACGAGACGTTCAAAGATCAGCAGTGTCGTTCCTTTGTCATCACTTTGACTACAGGGAGACGCCGCGGAGGCTAAGCCCCAATGTCCAAATACAACAGAGTAGTGCCGCAGTCCGTCAGTGTGCCGCCGTTCGCTGCCACTCTAGTCAAAGATTGTGTTTCCACAGCGAGCACCGGGGTCTGTCTCAGGAGCGTCACAGCAGCCCCACTACTGTACGCTCTGCTCTGCTTCAAATACTCCGCCGGTCTATTTTCGAGTACGCCGCAGGCACTCGTCAAGCTGGACAGAATAGAACAACCCGAACAGGAAAGTCAGACAAGGAAACGCACTGGGTGTCCAATCAATCATAGTATTAGACTCATGATCGTATTTTCCATCACTTTATCAACATTTCCTGCAGGATGTCAATCAGCAATGTCGTAGTGTTCTTACTATTTTGATGGGTTGTAGGTTTTCTACAAGCACAAATCTTTTCAAATTTCAGGAACAAAGAAAAGTTTGTTCCTTTTAATGACACTGCTTTGATTCCACTATCCTCACATTTCTTATATATTCACTCCTCATGTTCTAAGTGAGCATTATTGACCCCTTTTATGTAATGTCATTTTCTGAACGTGTTTAATAAATCTGACTTATTTCTCCTGCTGTTGGCCCGGCGTTATGCCTGCTTCCTTTCTCTGTTCTCTGGCTGACTCTCCTTCCTCTCTTCATCTTCCTGATTCCCTCTCTTCAGGCTCTATTAAGTCTTTATTGATCTGTCCCTTTCTGCTGATATGAATTCATACTGGATCAAACTGCTGACTTGGCTCTGCTAAAGAGACCAGACTAAATGAGGTCCATAAAACACACAACTAGTCTCACTATCCATGTGTGGTCATTTGTGTCCCTGCGCGCGTGTTCACGAGTGCTTTAATGCACATTTAGTGGTGCACAGGTTGCTTTTCTGATTTCTTATCTTTATTACTTTCCCTCAGAGCATTACCTCCCTCTTTCCACTGTGTTACCCTCCGTCTTCTCTTACCTTCTCCTCCTCTCTGCCCCACACCTGAACCCATTTTTTTAAAGCCTTCACACCGGCAGATTCTGTTGCACTAGCTATAGCTAAAGGGTTTACGGCGACACACATACAATATCCTGAAGGATTCAAATTATCGCCCTTAGAGTATATAGTTGGAAGCTGAGTCAACAACACCATGTCGAAGTTCTCAGGAGTAGTTGAGAGGAGTGTATTATGTGACAGTCGGGGATGGATGGGAGATTTTGACTTTTATAAAGTCAGAGGAAGACAAATATAGACGCAGAAGGTATGGAGCTATACAGGAGTTCTGTGTTGACATAGGCCTAGAGCTGTTACATATTCTCGCATATTGTACCTCACCTCACCTCACCTCCCCGTCCACATTTTAGTGTGTTTCCTTTTATATCTTTGTGTGTGTGTGTGTGTGTCTAGGTTCAGAAGGTCTTGGCTTCACCGTGGTCACCAGGGATTCTTCAGTTCATGGTCCTGGTCCCATTCTAGTTAAAAACATACTGCCACGCGGAGCCGCTGTCAAAGATGGACGCCTGCAGTCTGGAGACCGCATACTGGAGGTACAGAGGATCCGACTGTCATTGTCATTAAATCATTCAAAAATCAGCTTGTGTCGACTTTTCTAGACTTACCACAAGGACAATTAGAATCAAATCTAATAATTACAGATGAGTGGAAAAAAGGCGAAAGCTTTGCTGATTAGTCGTGGTGTTTTGATTTAATGTGTGCATGTGTATGTGTTTGTTTAGGTCAACGGTGTGGACATCGGAGGCGTGGGACAGGAGGAGCTGGTGTGTATGCTACGCAGCACGCGTCAGGGAGAGAGTGTGTGTCTTGTGGTTCTACGGCAGGAAGAGATGTTCCTGCCGCGAGAGATGGTAAGGACCAATCACATGGCTGTATGGTCAGCCAGTAGAACAAATATTTTCTAGTTCATTGGTGGCTCAATTGCCAGTTATACGGGTATGTTTTGACAGACTTTCTAATAAGGCAGCCAGAAAGACAGGCACACATAAATTAAAGCTTCCGCCCTGTAATTATGCAACATTTGATCCAATCAGCAGGCTTGCCTGGGTGATGCACAGCTGAGCAGCCTATAGGACAATAACCCCAATTATCACTGAAATGTAAAGCTTTCCATTGATATTGGATACATAACGTGCCAGTCTTTCCCTGCCACATTGTCTCTGCTGAATTTCAACCCTGTTTTGCTCAATAAAAACTTTCTTTTTTCATCTTCTTTCAGTTTACCTGATTTTTTTTCTTCATTCTTACTCTGCATGATTAACTCCTGTGCACATATTCATCTTAACTATACCTCTCTTCATGTTCCCAGATAAGGTTGTGTTTTTTTTTTTTCTTAAGTAGCCTGTTGCATTTTGCTGCATGACAAAAGTAACTCAATCTGAATTATTGTCATGTTTTCTTTTTGCCATCTGCTTCACACCTGACCCGTAAATCTGTAACTTTTTGATAGTTTTCCATGTAGTGGTAGTCTACCTTTTTTTGTCTTTGAAGTTGTTTTCATACATTATTCACTGAATGCCAAAAATAGGGAATTTGATGAGAATGAACTTCTCTAATTTTAACTGGTTTTACATTTTGTAAATAAATAAATATAAACATATACATCATAAATGTATTAGTAACTGTCTAATATGCAGACATGTTTCAGCTTGTTACATGACCTGATTCAATAGTTTCATATCAACAGAAAACTATTTCCAACTCGAGCTAATGGGAGCTAAACGGTCAGAAAAGTAGGGACAGTCAAAGCAGCTGATGGAAAGATGTAAGATTGTACAGTATGGATAAAAACAGTCTTACTTTTTCCTATACACTATTATAGAAACACCATTATTCTTTTAGACCTCTTTGTTTAGTTGCCTCTTCTTATCACGCCTGGCTTATGTTCATTGTTTTCATCTCATTGTGTATTTTATTTTTTTAATGTTTCCCTTTGAGTTCCTTTTCCACTTGGTGTCCTTTCCTCTCTTATCCATCTTGTGTTTCCTCTGGTCCCCACACACACACACACACGCACACGCACACATGTCGCTTTAAGCCCATTTGGAAAGTCTGTTTGTGCAGTCAGGAAGAGCAGAAATATGTCAGAGTGTTCAGGTGTTAACATTTAGTATTATTTGTGATCCTGAGGTTCTCAGGAAATGTCTAAACTACATGGTTGTCTTCTTTAGATCCTGATAAAGTGTCAGATCTACCACGATGTTATACCTTTACACAGTGAACCATCCTCAACGCTCCCTTGGTCACTCTCCACCAACTTTCCCCTGCTTGCAAATGATGAAGGGAAAAAAAGAACCTTGCACTTTGGTGTTACCTTTGCACTATTACAGGGCTTTCACACTTGCAGAAAACTCATAAAAAACAAAAAAACAGCCACATTTTTTTTACTCAGAATTCACTGGAGCTTCTCCTGCCAGACCCTTACTGTTTTTTCCAAGAGCAAGTTTGAGTGAACTGATGTGAAAACGCTTCAGGACATTCTCATAAGCTTACCACGCTAATACACTGCGCACCTGATCGCTTCAAAATCAGCAAACGGATTCATTAGTTTTCAAAATTAAAACTGTGTCTTCAAGAGCAAAATACTTGTGGAAGGTCAAATTACTTCCAAGGTGTTGAACCAAAGTGAGTGACGTGTTTACTAGCTCACAGGAACCACAATAAACACAATACTTAGCCTGGCTCATTTTTACAAAACCACACGTTTTAATTTGACCCTGATGATTTGTTAAGTCAGCACATTTACTACAGGATTTCATACGTCGCCATCTTTTCGACAACCTTTTATGTTTGAGTGAACACCATTATCCTTGACCACTTGTGTGGATCAAAATAAGAACGCCAGTCAGGATACTGACCTCCCTTTGGACCAGTATTATTTATACACATAATCAGTCACACTCATCGGTTCTCATTATGAAAAGAAAAAAGTCTGAGTTTTGTCCTTCAGCTTAGAAAACAAAGCAGCAAAATGTCTCCCAGAGGAAACCTTCTCCATTGTTTCTTTTGATTTGGAGCGCTGCACCAACCGCAGATTCAAGGACACTGCTGTGTGTGTGTTTTTGTGTGTGTGTGTTTGTGTGTGTGTGTGTATTTTCCCTGAAATGTATTTTGAGTTTTCAATGGCATTAATTGTATTTTTTCCATTATTTAAAAAAAAAAACTTGGATCTTAGGCCAATTTGAAATGCTCAATCTTCCTGTTCCCATATCTACAAAGAATGACTACTTAACATTTAACAAGAGGGTTATCTTAGTTTGGTCATTTAGCCAATTTAACCATGAGTCCTTTCTTTCATGTATTTGGTTAATTTCATGAGATTCATTTTATGTTTGTTACAACCAAATCACAATGCCCACACAGTAAAGAGATGATTTGACTGTAACAGTAATACACACATCAGTATTAATTAACTTAATGAAGGAAGTAAATACGCAACTTGACTGTAGAGCAAATGAAGAAGTCAATAGAAGTGCACTTATGCAGGCTAATTAGTCATGACACCATCAGGAAGCCTCAGCATCATAATATACTCTGTCTCATGATACAATGGAAAAAAAGGCTTGATTTGAGAGAATCTGTTTTTAAATGACTTATTGTATGTGATCAATCATTTCTAGTATTTAGTCCGGAGGTTACTTCTTTTATAGTGCAGTGCAGATATGCAGGAATCCAACGCAGCGTGTTAAGAAGGTCTGTTAGGACTTTGTCTCCTGCTCTGGAAAGAGCTGTGATGATGTTTAAGTGCAGTTGTTGGGGCTTTCCTAATTGACTCTTCGAATGTAGGAATTCAGTCTGTGCTGCTGTAGCTGAATTTAAATAAATGTAATGCAAAATAGGAGAGAAATGTCGTGAGAAGAGATGTGCTGGTGTAGAGGCAGACTGATGGGGCTTCATTCCCACCTCCAGAAATGAAGGATGAGCAGGAACAAAGTGGATGGATTGACTCCTCATTGCAGTTTAGTGGGACAACTGATAAATGGCATGGGTAAGCTGCAGTTCCTCATAGGCACACTTCGCTCAGCTTTAATATATGAAACTAAGAAGATTGTATGTGTGTTGGGTGTGTGGGTGTGTGTGTTGAGAGTGATGCTATTACCCCTGAGAAAAGGTATCAGCCTGCAAACAGGAATGTAATGAACCCTTTTAGCGTCCTTTTGTTTATTGATGTATAAGATAAAAAAACATTACTTAGTTTTTGTATTTAGCATTTATGGAAAGTATTAAATGAAGTTTTCAGCTACCTACACTTAACATTTTCTGTGATGAGTTGTTCTTTTAATGGACTTTTCTCTCTCCACCTCTGACTTTCTTATCCTGAGTGTCAAATTAAGGGTTGATGGTCTCCAGCAGTCACAACAGTTTTTAAGAACAAATGACATGCAGTCTGTCACAGTGAGGCGGGGAACACTCTCGGTCTCAGAAGGCAGCAAAAAGGGCCTGAGAAGCTCTTCAGCCTTTATTTACCCTCAGACTGACTGTGATTGGCCTTTCAGATTGGCCAGCCAGAAGCATGAGGGAGTAAGAAGAGTTAACGGCCCACAGAGACTAAAAGCACATTTGTTTGTATTTTTTTAAATAATTGTTTCCTACGAAAGCTATTACTGGTTGTTGTCCACATAATGAACAAACCTTTACAGAAGCCAGGACTGGGGTGTAGAAATCTTTTTTCTTCTTATCATAATAGCTTTTTTTTTGCCAACATTTAAACAAGAATAAATATTGTATTAGCAGACTAGTAAACAGGATTAAATGTCATTTCCAAAATGAGAGTATACCAGGTTTCATTTCTAATATTTTGTCACTCAGAGTGGAAAACATTCTGGTTCACTGTCTTGCCGACCAATCCAAAGCTTGTACTTCTGCTCCATGAAGCACAGAGGGTTTCCTAAAGATAAAATAATAAGGAGAAACACATTCACTGAGTTTAATATCAGAGTTATGATGAACCTAAACACTGTAACTTGAATGTATCAAAAATGAGTGTTAGAATTTCATGTCTAACTTATAATCAACCATTTTTTTTTCTGCTTTAAGAAGATTTTTTTAAAGGCTGGCTATTCCTTAGCTTCAGCTTTGTTTTACGTTTCACAATTTGAAACATGCTTGTCATTTGTCATACATTTTGAATTCGTCTATCTCTTTAATGGAGCGTCCTAGGGAACGTAAGCTGTCTTTTACGAGGTCAGATATGCTCTTTGTTATTGTTGGTGTTCTCACTTTTTTAAGTAAACATAAATCAATCCACAGTATTATCAGCAGGTAGTCCATAGACACATTACAGTTCACACCTTGTATGAATTTTCACACCTTAATAAAAAGCTTGGTCGTAGTATCACACCTCACAAACTTGAATGGTTCCCCGTTTTCACACAAACTTTTAAACATCTGTAGAAGTTGTGTCACGTGTACCTCTGCATGAAGGGGTGAGGACAGGTCTGAATTGTATTTAAAGTGTTTGTAGGCTCATCACAGTTTTCTATCACAATATTAGATCTCAGGTTTGGTAGTTTTTTTTTCTTTTTTTAACCAATATTTTTATTTGCATTTTCATTTAGTAACACAGTAACACACACACACACAAAAAAACAAACAAACATATAGACAAAAAAACAACAACAACAACACACAAAAAAGGAGACAAGACAGCATGACAAAACATAGACTAAATAAATAAAAAAATAGACAATAGTAATAATAATTTGGGCATAATCAGCAAGATCCTATATAGTTCACACAGTCACATCAGATGAAAAGTTCTTATTTAAGGTTTGGTAGTTACTCTAACAACTGCTTCACTTTTGGCAGTAAGCCCTTGTAGTGTATGTGTGTGTGTTTACCACCGCTTATT